AAGGCAGCCACCTGGACCAGAGACCGAGACATCCCCGCGCCGACCTCTCTTGCGGTGGCAGCTCCTATAGAGTGGCTCCTTTAGCGATATAGGGGGCGGGTGATGTGGACACGGAGGCCTGCCCTATCACCACATCCGCGAAGGATGCCTCGGGTGCGCCCCCTTCCATCCGCCCGCCGTGGACACGGACACCAGCACGGACGACGGCTCCGGCCCGCCGCCTCCGCCTATGATGTCGAGGACACGACCGGCCATGCCCTGGATGTGCCCTCCTCTGCCTACTCTCCCATGGATGTAGCCATTGGCTGCGCCTCCCCGATCGACGCCGTGGTTGCCCCAAGGCCACTTACGCTCACCACCGGCATGGCACCAGCCGGCTCCTGGCATGTTTGCTATAGGAGGATCTTTTTCGGAGCAAGCCACGGAGAGTCCCACGTCCTCCGACACTACAAGGGACATGGCGGTCAGTTCGTGGCAAAAAATCATTAGGACAAAAGGACAAAAAACTCTTGACTCACTCTAACGCCATCATGCGAGGACATTTTGGGGCCAGCTTGCTCGACCTCGGCTGCTCCTCGTCGACACGTTGTTGTTTTGAGCCCTCCCTCGGCTCGAAGGGCTCGGACGAATTAGAACGACCACCTCCTACCGACTCTAGAGGTGCCACCGAGGGCTCGGACGAGAGCGGGCGAGCTATTTCCGCCGGCTCCGGGGCCACCATCGAAGGCCCAGACAAGGCGAAGCGGCCAGATTCCACTGGTTCTGAGGCCATCATCGAAGGTCTTGATGGGGTAGGCGGTTTGATTCCACCGGCTCTAGAGTGCGTCATCCCCCTCCAGCATCGTGGCATGCCACAGGAAGGGCCCCATCTATGACGAAGGTGGGTCCTCGTCTTTGGCGGCCAGATCATCCCATGGGATGGGTGATCTAGAGCCGTCATCATCCTCCTCCTCCTCTTCTTCCTCCTCTTCTTCCGACAAACCTTGATGCCGCTTCCCTCGTAGCAGCTTTGCTCGCTGCTTCGACCACCGTTTCTTCTCCTCATTGTCCTTCTTCTTCCTTTGTTCATCCGCAACATGGCTCGCTGCCCTCATGGCCGCATGCTCTGGTAGTGGCGCGATAGAGTCTCGGAAGACTAACCCCACCGGCAGCTCGATGAAGCTCCACGTCCGGTCGCATCACGGGATGCCTCAGGATCGGAACACATCATCGACCTCCCCATGGCCTCCTTGATGCGATGTGTGACCTTGCTATCATGGAGCAGCCCCTGGGTGAGCGTTGTCCTAACGAGCTGCGCACCGGGCATCATCCCGTACAGCGAGAGGACGAGCGCCATCAGCGGCGCCACCCTCCTTGCGTGATACCCCTTGATGACACCGGCCCCGTGGAGGCCGTGGGTCTTTAGGAACATGATGGCCTCGAGGAGGTCGCGCATCCTTTTCTTCTCCTTGACGGGTGGCCCCTATGGCCATGATGGCGGTACCTCTTTGACCAGTGCTCGGAGAAGAGCGGCAAGGGAGCTGAAGGGTCGTTCTTCAGGTAGAACCAATGCGAGTGTCACCCCTTATTGCATCTGGAGAGCTGGCAGGGCATGTACTCGGCCGCCCGCTGCCCTCGAAGGTGGATGCCCATGCATCCCATCGGCACTGGGAGATAGTGGTGCACCTCTTCAAGTGCTGCAGCTTAATCTGATAGTCCACACTCATGGAAGGGCACGAAGGAGACGACGTAGCCATCAGGCGGCGCCGGCGCATCCTCATGGCGAGCACAAGTCACTCCACCACATCGGTCGTCCCACAGAGAAGACCATGCTTGATGAGGCCCTCCATGCACGCATGGGTAACATTAGAGAGGTACCACGAATCCATGGAGGATGGAGGCGGTGCGGAAGAAGCAAAGGTGGCGGATTTGCAAGCACGGTAGATCCAAACGGCGGCGGTGGGAAAACGAGAAGGTAAGGTTATGGTTTTGGTGTGCAGAAACATGAAGGGGAGGCTGCTATTTATAGGACGGAGCGGGGCGAGAGGGCGAACCATTCGCCTAGGTTCACGCGCCCGCTGTGCCGCGTCATGTCACCTCCCTCCGAAGATCGTGCACACTATCTATGGCCGCGCCCTCGAAGGACATGTCGGATGACGGTTCTCCCGGTCGATGGGACAAGAACTATCGCAGATATGGAGGGATACAGAGCTGAAAACGCTCCTACGACCCATTCAGGACCAGGAGTTCAAAGGCTGGCCCGCCGACGAGTTCACAGCCGCTCAAGGCACCCTTAGAGCGAGGGATGGAAAGGGATGGGCCCACTAGCGGCCAGTACTCGGGCGCATGAGCGCCGCAGGCATCCCGGCCCATGTTCGAGTCTTGGTTGGTTCCCAGTCTATGGTTTTTCCTTGAAGAAAGGCAACGAGCCCTTGGGACCGACCAAACGGACCCATAACTATATGAATTGGCCGCCAAGAGTCTGAAGTCGGTCACTAGCTAACCCATGCCGGACCCCCACAAAAGGGAAGCCAGGGCCCCACTCGGACTAGCCCGTTAACAGCTCATCGAGCACCATGTTTCATCCATCGAGGAAAAATATGGCATGACTCAGCCCCTCTGATTTATCAAAAAAACACTTGACGGATAACAATCACAAAGACGAGCCGACCCTCGATCGGACCCCTACTACGCGTGGGGCTAGAGGGAAGTTGGACTCGCAAGGAGACCGAACGCGCGGTTGTAGGACAACGGTGGACCGATCGGATCCTAGGGGACCGGAATCAAGAAAAATCATTCTGACCTCCCGAATCCTACGGTTACATGCCCCAAGAAGACCGATCACGACAAAAGGAAATCATCGTCCTACCAGGACACGCTGTGGGCTAAAAAAGAAGGCTAATGCCCTCAGAGTCCTCCTGTCCGGAAAAGCCTCCAAAGAAGTATTCTACTCCTCCGCAGGCTCGGGGGCTACTGTTGGGTATCGATATTAGGGATACCCAAAGCAAGGAAGTTAGCGCCCACGCTGACTTCCCCGGGTGGCTCGAGATGTATTAAAAGGTCTCGCCCGACCCTAAGGCCGCGGGCTCCATCTCGCCTCGACCTCGAGGCCGCGGGCTCCGTCTCGCCCCACCCCTTGGGTGTGGACTCCATCTCGCTCGACCCCAAGGACGCGGGTTCCATCTCGCCCAAGGCCGCGGGCTCCGTCTCGCCCGACCTCGAGGCCGCGGGCTCCGTCTGGCCTGACCTCGAGGCCATGGGCCCCGTCTCGCCCAACCCCTTGGGTGCGGGCTCCGTCTCGCCCGACCCCAAGGATGCGGTTTCCGTCTCGCCCAAGGCCGCGGGCTCCGTCTCGCCCGACCCCAAGGACGCGGTTTCCGTATCGCCCAAGGTCGCAGGCTCCGTCTCACCCGACCTCGAGGACGTGGGTTTCGTCTCGTCCGACGGGGACTCAAACCACCGCAACCACTTCAGGTCCAAGCGTATGCCCTGGGTCAAAACTCTAACGCTAGGGATGAGCCTGGCACGCCTTGATATAACCCGTGGCCATGACAGGCCATACCTGGGGATTCACATCAAGAACAGTGTCGGGCGTGCCGGTGCTGTTCTGCCTAATCCTCGTACGGACACTGACAGGCGCGTCAGTTCACCACGACGTCCACCGGGACGGAGTGGAATACCATGACCGGCAGATGACGCCTGCGCATTACGCCAGTGACGAACAGGGCCGCGACATGGAGCCGTCCCTGTTGACATCTACAGGATCGGCGGGACCCGCATGAAGGAGAAGAAGGACCCGATAGCCCTAGAAGCCTTCTTCTCTCTCGTTCTTCTCCTTTTCCTCCTCTGTAAACTGCGCTTTTCCTTCGTCTATAAAAGGGAAAGCAGGGCGTCCCATGAAAGAGAGATTGAGATCTCGACATGGAGATCTGAACACAAAGAGCACGACACGAGCACACAGCTGAGCGGCAAGCGAGCTCTCAGCACCCGTTCACTCCTTCCATCAGAGACTTAGGATCCTCTCCCTTTCTCGCCTGTTTTTAACCCCTACTGCAAACCAAGTGCCGGTAACACGAGCAGCAGCGAACTGGACGTAGGGACGTTCCGTCCGAACCAGTATAAACCCTTGTGTCCTCCGAGTACACCATCCGAACCAGACACGTAAATACAAATTTACTCGTCGGTGGTCTGAAAACTCTGACAAATCCAAATTAAAGAATCTCTATTTTTTATAAGAGATCTAATTAAAGAAATTGTTGGAGAATTTTTTTCATCAAAATCTCTACTTCTATCGATAAGGAAGAATATAAAGAATCTTTTTGAGTTGCTTTTACATCTTGAAATATTATCATCCTTTATTTCAAATTTCTTGCTAGTCAAATAGAGAGCGGGATTGGTCTCTACAGTGCACATTATATAGAAAATTTATTGGAGGGTAAAAAAGATATAGAGCATGATTTTTATATAAATGACACTCCAAAGGATGAGTTAGAGAGTGAGTTTAAGAAATACTTTTGCAAATGCTCTAAGATGGGGTCAAAATGGCATCTGCTGCGGATGCTCTGGATAGCGCTCTTACGATAGCCTGATCTTCTGCTGCGGTGCTTCCTACTCCGTGGCCTGGCCTCCGTTTTGGGACGGCTGGAGGAATTAGCCGAAATTTCCATTGATCTTCCCTATTTGTTCTTACGCTTGCACCGGGCATTCGGGTCGGTTCCTCTTCAAAATCACATTACCATCGATCTCACGATAAACCTACTGCTAAAGAATTCGAGGACAGATGAGTAAATGTGGACGAAAAGAGTTGCATTGCATGGTACATTCCATCCCAGGGAGAAGATACAGATCACATTTTCCAAGTTCATGCATAAGAACACACACGGTTTGCCCTAGTATCTACATCCGCACGACCATCGCCCAACCCAAGAAACCGAAAAAGACCCCGCCACCCCCGACCTCCAAAACGAAGATGTCATCGTGTAATTAATATATCATCAGAGGATGCACGCACGGCGTCGTCGTCAGACACGGTGGTGCTGCAACTGCAGCAGCCGCGAGTAGGCGCCTTCCGGCCGGGCCAGGAGATCGGAGTGGCTGCCGTGCTCCACGATCCGCCCGTCCTGCACGACCGCGATGCGGTCCACCCCTCGGATCGTCGACAGCCGGTGCGCCACCAGCACGGTGGTCCGCCCCTTCATCAGCCGCTCCAGCGCCTCCTGGAGCACGCACTCGGACTCCGCGTCCAGTGCGCTCGTCGCCTCGTCCAGCAGCAGGATGGCCGGGTCCTTGAGCACCGCCCTGGCGATGGCGATCCGCTGCTTCTGCCCGCCAGACAGCTGCATGCCCCGCTCGCCGACCGACGTCTTGTAGCCATCGGGCAGCTGGCTGACGAAGCCGTGCACGTTCGCCGTCTTTGCCGCCTCGATCACCTCCTCCTCGGTCGCGCCTTCCTTGCCGTATGCAATGTTTTCGAGAATGCTCGAAGCGAAGAGGACTGGCTCCTGCTGCACGAGGCCGATCTTGAGCCGCAAGGACTTCAAGTTCAGCGTCCGGATGTCCTTGCCATCAATGGCCACTTTTCCTCCGCATGGGTCGTAGAACCGCTCGATGAGAGCAATGACAGTGCTCTTCCCTGAACCGCTGGCTCCGACGAGCGCTTGGCTGCGTCCAGCTTGGATTTTCAGGTTGAAGTCCTTGAAGATTTGAATGTCTGGGCGTGCTGGATACGAGAAGTCTACATGCCGCAGCTCAATGTCCCCTCGGATGGTGGTGACCCTCTCTGACTCTGGAATCATCAGGCTCAATTCTTGTTGCTCTGTTGAGGATGCCAAAGATGGATCGGATGGATTCACCTCCGCGGATGATCTCTGGGGCCAGGCTCACCGTTTCAGCTACGGAGTTGGCAGTCACCACAAGGACAACAAAAACCTTGATGACCTTGGAGAAGGTGGACCCATGTGACCGCACAAGATGAGAACCATACCAGAGGACGAGCGCTTCAGAGGAGTATAAGCAGAGCTGAGACAGGCCAAACAGAAGACCTGATGTCTGGCTGCGGCGGAGGATTTGCTGCTCTGGTACACGCAGTTCATGGCTGAAGAGTGACAAGATCTTGCTTTGAGCGTTGAAGGCCGCTACGGTGCGTATATTGCTCACACCTTCACCTGCAACCATACTGCTCTTGGCATGTGCCTTTGCCGTGTCACCAGCAAAGCCCTTCATTGAAAGTTGCTGAAAGCACAAAAAGAAACATGCCATCAGTACATATATTCTACACAGCCAGTATAAAACTAAGTTGTTCTGATTTTGACAAGCAACTAAATTAGCAAGACGTGTTGGCATTCATGTTTCCTTAAAGATGGACTTGAACAGTAGGTTAAGTCTCAAGATGACAGAAAGACATCAATCACTTAAAAGTAAGCCAAGAATTACCTGAGCAAAGTTGGCAAGCACAAGTAGAGGGAAAGTGGCCAGAATAAGTATTGCCACTCTCCATTCAATGATAAATCCAACAACGAAAGAAGTCATAAGTGAAGTCATGTTCTGCAGGATGACTGATATTCTCTCAGCTATAGCCGACTTCACATCAGCTGCATCAACAGCTAGACGCGCAGCCACAAGACTTGAATTGTTTTCTTCTTCGTCAAACCAACCAACTTCATTCCTAAGTATTGCTGCAGTGAATATTGTAGAGATTCACAACATATTCAAATGACACCACAAAAACTGATTTCAGAATGGAGAAGACACATACCAGACAACATCATCCGCCTAACCCTGGTTGTAAGATTTTCTCCCATGATGCTGAAGAAGTAATGCTGCACAAGATAAGCAACGACGGCATATATGCCAGTGCCAATATAGATGAACACATATAGCTTGGTTTTCTTCTCCATTTCATTGGGGTCCTTGTAGTAGAACACATCAAGCATTTCACCCATAACAATGGCAAAAGTTGGGCCAATAAATCCTGAGAGGACAGAACCAATGGCCCCCAACACTGCATAAGGCCATTCAGGTGCATTCAGTTTCAGAAGCTTGAAGAAGTATCCACGTGGTGCTGGGTATTTGCGATCATTATCAGCATTAGAAATCATCTCAATGCGACCATCTGCTCCAGTACTGTACTGATAACTGAGGTTCCTTAGACTTCCAGACCTGAGGCTGAGAGATTTGGTGGAAAGTGAGCTTGTCAAGTGAATTGACCGTGACCTGCGGGTAGATGCACCTCCAAGATCCCTATTCCGTGCCGTTTCCTGAAAACGGACAAGGGACGCATATGCTCCAGAGGTTCCTTTTGCTAGGAGTTCATCATGTGTCCCCGTCTCAACAACTTGGCCTTGTTGGATCACAGCGATCATGTTCACATTTCTTATAGTGGACAGACGGTGGGCAACAACTACAGTCGTCCTCCCAACCATCAAACGGTCTAAAGCTTCTTGCACAATGCTTTCTGAGTCTGCATCTAATGCACTGGTAGCCTCATCGAGGAGCAGAATCTTTGGGTTCTTCAGCATAGCACGAGCTATTGCTATACGTTGTTTCTGACCACCAGAGAGCTGGATGCCTCGCTCACCTACCTATGAATGAAAAAAAAAATGAAGAAATTAATATTTAATTGATTAGACCAGACTTACATGTATGTGGAAAAAATATAGACGCACCATTGTGTTGTAACCATTTGGAAGAAGAGATATAAAACTATGGGCATTGGATGCAGTCGCTGCAGCCTCAACTTCTGCAATAGTTGCATCTGGCTTTCCATACAGTATATTCTCAAGGATTGTTGTTGCAAAAAGAGCAGGTTCTTGGTTTACCAGACCAATCTGATCTCTCAGCCACCTCAACTGGAGTGTCTTTATGTCAACATTGTCTAGCAAAACCTGGCCTGCAATGCAAATGAAGTTAGCCAATAGTTTAAAAGGAGCCATAAATTCTAAGGAAGCAAATCAACAGCCTCTAAGACGATGTTATGTTACCTTCATTAGGATCATAGAACCTTTCTATCAAAGCCACAACAGTGCTCTTTCCAGACCCACTGCCTCCAACAACCGCAACCATTTTACCAGCAGGGAAGAAAAGAGAGAAATCCCGAAAGATTATAACATCAGGCCTTGATGGATAACTGAAAGTAACTTCCTTGAATTCTATGTTTCCATGGACCTCTGCCAACCACTTTCCATCCTTATGATCATTGACTATGGAGGGTTTCTGGCGAATGACCTCCAACAGTTTGTAACCAGCAATCTTTCCTTTACTGAAGGCTCCGAGGTTTGAGAAAGCCTGGCCAAGACTCCTGTAGAAACAATTAAGCAGTTATTGCACACAAGGCATGAGGGAAACAGCTCATGGACCGGGGAAAATAAGTGAAACAGAATTATAATAATAATATCAACATCTTTTTTTCACTTACATGCCACCGACAATTGCAGAAAAGATCGCGGTAAAAGCCTTTCCACCATCAGTCTGCCCATTCCTGATGAAGACCCCGGCATACCAAAATACCAGTGCCCATGACATGCAAGCTATCCCATAAGTACATCCAATTCCAAGACCTTTGGCCATACCAGCTTTGTAACCAAGCTTCAGTGTGTTCTGGATTGCTTCAGAATAGGAATTGAGCGCTTTGCTCTCTCCGACAAAAGAGTACACTGTTCTTACTTGTGAAATTGCCTGTTCCAGAATTATTTCAGTCAACAAATAAGTAGAATGGCAAGAAACTCATTCTTATAAATTACAAATAGTGACTAATAGATTGTCAAAAAAATAACCTGTGCATAGTACAGCAAACAAATAAAATTGTTTAGGCAATGTTTGGTTTCCTTCTAGTCATTGCCACAATTCTTTGCCAAAACATGCCTAAGGTGTGGCTGATAATTTGCTCACCACACATAAGGCAAGGTTTGCCAAATATGTCTATGGACTATGGAGGGGTAAGAAAGATTGTGTCAGGTCACAACTGTGGTTAAACAATTCAAACAAGCACTCCACCTATTGCTGGTAGCAGCATAGCACAGAGAAGTACTTCACACTACAAAAAAAGGAAATTGACAGAATCTAAGGCAACCGTAATTTCACATGAACAAATATATGTCATTTTGGTTTAAAAACAATGTATGTGGGCTCCTTATGGAAAGGAACAAAGGCATTCAGCAGCCTTCTATATTATCAACAATTGTTCATCAACAAAATATGGTTAAAAATGGTTCACTCAATTCCCAGAATCCTCTCTAATACTACAAATGTTTCCCAGTGATCATATTTTACCAACAAAAGAATCAAAATACTGGCAATAGAGCGGACCTCTCTCGAACTCTCTCGCCCAGCTACAGTTGAGAGAGGCGAAACAGAGCGCATCGGTCTCCGCCAGCGGGGACGGCGGTCTTCCTCGCCTCCGATGGCCCATGGGGCTTCGAGAGGTGGTGGAGACCGCTGCTCTCTCGCCGGTCGGTGGTAGGAGTCCTAGTAGTTCTAGGGTTAGGTTTCCGGCAACGCAGTCGAGGCGGCGGCGGCGGCGTCAAGGAATAAGGTCCTCTCGTGCTCTTCCCCATCTCGGCGGTGCTTTACTCCGGCGCCGTCGACGAGTGCGTGGAGGTGGAGTCCGGCTTTGCCGGCTCTTTACAGGAGTCTATGTCAGCTGCTGGTTCGTCGTTGTGGCGAAGCGGCGATGCTGGTGGCGCGTTTTGTCAAGAAGGCAGCGGCAGTTGCGGGTGTAGCGGCACGATGGAGAGTGGATCAAGTTCGACTTTCCCTCGGCGTTTGTCGACGGCGAGCTTTGATCCAAGATTGGAGAAGCTCGGGATGCATCCCCGGCCGATGGTTCTTCACCGACGACTTCAACCCGCCCATGGTGACGGGTGACTACTGCGGCTCGATTCAAAGCTTTCTAGCGACGGGGGTTCTCCAGATCTGGGTGATTTCGGGTGCTCCTGGCGCCAGTGATGGCTGGCGGTGGAGTTCGCCGATGTGGTTTGAGTGCACGGCGGCCAGGGACTTCCTTGTAATTTTTGTTTTTTCTAGGGCTTCTGTGCACTTTTGTCTGGTCAGCTGCCTCTGTATTCTGTACTCCCGTATCTGTATTCTGTCTTTGTACGTTTTTCTTACCCAGTAATACAGATACGTTTTTATAAAAAAAAAACAAAAGAATCAAAATATATTATCCCAACAAAGTTACATGATTAAATTTTATTCAGTACTGCGCCACAATTGACAGGCTATATAAGAAATATCACAATTGAAACTGTGCACAGAATTAATATGCATAATGTTTCTACAATCAACTTAAAATAACTAGGTCAATAGATTCTTCAAAAAGCAACCTAATTGTCCTTTTGTTAGGCATAGGCTACCAAACCTAGTCACTTATATTAAATTAAAGACGCTTGAGTCCTTTTTACTATTTCACCGCGTGATCAGTCTAGTGCAAATAGGCCCTCTTGAAATAAATCCACAAGTAAAAAATGGGCCGACAGCGCCACCATACAAACCGCGTGTTTAGTTCGTCTAAATTTGTGCAAATATTTGGCCCTCTAATTAGAAATAAAATCCAACCAAACTGTAAAAACATTTAATGCCTATACACGTATGACAGCGCCACCATACAAACACATTTTGGGAAAAGTTTTTTGAACTAAACAAGGGCAAAAGTTGAGCCAAACAAGTCCTGTGGAAAGCAGAAACCCACAAGGCACTTGCCCCACCAAGTTTGTGGAATTGCTCATAGGATTCCCAAAGCATAAAAAGTTGAAAAAGAACAAATGGCATGTTGGTCAGTCGTCTTACAGCATAAAAAACAAGGTTTTTGGCTCCTAATCAGCAGACAGCACCAGGAAATACTACCAACCCACCAGCCCAATTCCATCCCAAGTCCAAGCGTCCACTAAGAAATGCATAGATTTATCGAACACGAATCCTAATCCTAATCCAAGAGAAATATATATAATAATGGCACAAATCAGCAGTATACCAACAGCAGCCAAGTTCCCCACGCGAAACACGGCAGGAGGCAAGAGTCGCTGTTACCTGCTCGGCGACGACGCCAGCATTGGCATAGGACTCCCGGCTTTTGCAAGTGAGCCCGGTGAGCGTGTACGCGTACAGGCCGCCGGCGAAGGCGATTGCCGGGATGACGGCCACACTGAGCAGCGCAAGCCGCCACGCTGAGACGAACCCGACGACGAGCCCGGCCAGGAAGGTGGCGATGTAGTGCATGAAGTTGCCGACCTTCTCGCCGATGGCATCCTGCACGAGCAGCGTGTCGGTGGAGACGCCGAAGACGATGTCGCCCGTGCGCGCGTCCGTGTCGAAGAACCCCACGTCCTGCCGCAGCACGGCGTCCAGGTACGCCTTCCGGAGCGCGATCACCTGCCGCTCCCCGGTGTACATCCAGCACGCGATCTCTGGAGAACGAAAAAATGCAGCTTCAGTCGGCGTGCAAGAATCGATAGTGTGGAAGCCTGCAACACCATTGTGTACTGATGCAGCAGGCCACGACGTCGGCAGCCGGCCGGCATGGTGGACGCCGGCGAGCTCGCTTGCCGGATTCGTCGACACGAAAACGAGACAAACATGATGTACGGAGTAATTGTTAACTTTTCCCCGTTTGGTGTGATAGTGACGGGACTTGTGTAACTGAGTGGGGTGGTCTTCGAGATGCCCCACCGGCCATGACTAGATCCTATTTCGCGAATAGGCCCCCTGTACTCCATTATGCTTGAAAAGAGCCATGGTGCGTCGGAGAAGACAGGATGTGATGTGGCGGGGGATTGGGAATCGTTCGGAACTCGAGGAGGACGGGGAATGGCGGATGGACAGTGGGAGGTCACCTGCGTAGGAGGAGACGCAGACCACCAGCCCCAGGTAGACGAAGTAGAGCGCATACTGCAAGAGAGGAGCAGAGGAAATAAATCATGACATAAACACAGGTGAGAGTTGAGACAAGAAGCGGTGATCTTGGCGAAAGAAACCGTATCCGAGATAGGCAACAAAATACAAACGGGTGAGCAAAGAATGAAGAACTGACGGACCTTGGCGACCTCATCGGTCATGGTGCGGAGGTCGGTCTGGTTCTTTCCAAAACCGTTGATGAGGTCCCCGAAGAGCAGGAAGAAGAACGGCATGGCAGCCCCGTGCGCCAGCGCGCCCAGGCTGCCCGCCGCCATGAGCATCAGGTCCCACTTGTCGGCGAACGAGAAGAGCTCGTGGAACGCCACGGCCTGGTCCACCCTCTTCTTCCCCTCCCCCGCCGCATCGCCGACTCCCCCTCCTCCTCCGTTCGCCACCTTGTCCGCCTTACCGTCCGCCGCCGCCGACTCCGCCATCGCAATGCGCTCCCCCGCCTGACCCGGACCTCGGTAGCGCGGCTAGCGCACTCTCAGGCCGCAGCCGCGGCGCCCTGCGGCATTGGTGAAGGTGTGGCCGCTTTTGCTTGTCTCTTGGCCTGAGGTGGGGTTGGCGCCTGGCGGGCTCCCAAGGAAGAGGGGGGGAATCCGGAAGCCGGAAGCGCCTGCTTGGGATAGCCTCGGTATCAGTGACGTGCAGGCGAGGTTTGTGGGGGGTGGTGCTGGTGGTGGTGAGCTTTTGTGTTCCGCGCTGCGGTGGTCAGGTCAGAAGCTAGCGCGGCGTCGGGGCGAGTGATGATAAAGAGGAGGGCAGTGCAGTGTGGGCGCGGGGTCAGGGAGAGAGCCACAGCCCACTTCCGCTCACTGGCGGTGAGCTTTACCGCTCGCTCTGCGCTTTCTTCACCTGGATTGCACTTTGCAAATTTTTAAGGTTAGTTTTGTTAAAAAAATATTTACCACAGATTTAGTGAGTCCAAAACTGCGGTGAGTTGGGCAGAAATATTTGCGAAAGATTTGTCAAACAAAAACTGCTTTAAGTTGGGAAAAAAACACTTGCTACAGATTTGGAAAGTCAAATGTAAATGTAAACACCAAGAGATTAGCTAAAAACAAACTCCAAATCTTATGATTTAGCTATTCTCTAAAATAAAAAACCTTCCAAAAAAAATATACCCATGCAACAGCCTCTGTAAAACTTACAGCTCTCCATTTTAAAATCTGGCACGTCATTTAAATTTTTTTAAGATCCACACGGATCTTTCTCTGATGCCAAGCGCTCCATCGACTATCGCTCATCCACACCATCATATATCCTGGCCATATGTCAAAACGACCTTCAAATGATCAAATCTCACAGCTCAGAACAATCAACAAGGAGACAAGAAGCAGAGTAATTCGATGGACCAAATGCACGCTCAGAATCAGCACCTACTAGCTCGGACAAGGAGAGAGAGAGAGACAGCGCAACGACTTCGAAGGATAGCCGGCAGCTCGCTCACCTTGGCCCTGTCGATGCACTTGACGGCGACACAGACCCAGGAGCCGGTCGGTGGCTAGCATGCATGCCCATAGCTATCAGCCAAGTGAACCTTTGATAAAGTAAGGTATACGTGTCTTTTATGTTATGCCCTAACTTCTTATATACTCAGAATTACTACCTCTGTTTCAGAAATAATGTAAATCTCACTTTTCAAGATAAGACTAGTGTAGTTGTGAAATCACGTATTTACCTCTCCTCCATCATTCTCTCTTCAAGTAGAAAATGAAAAATAGAATGTTCTTCTCATGGATAGATAAAGTAATGATATTTTAGTAGATAGGTCTTATTAGAAAAGTTGTTCTCATATCTACAATTATATTCTTTCTGAGATAAGATTTGAAACGTAGGATTATATAGTTTTTTTTACGGAGGAAGTACAACCAGCTACAAACACACGTACTTTTTTTTATCTGACACTAGAGTTTTACTGCAGCCGTGAGTCTTCTCGATAAGAGGCTCATAGACACTTCAACTTTTCATGTCATAAATACGATTTTTCATTGATTATACTTCGTCAGCTGTACTCCGTATTTATTTTGAATTGAATCGTCTAAAAGAACCTTCGTGAAAAGAAACGGGCGGTCAAAGTTGATTGGTGATGGAAAAACGGCCAAGGTGGTAGTGACAGGAGCAATCAGACGAGCGACCTCGTTAACCGGCCCAGGCAGTTGTGATCGAGTTGACCAGGAGACTCCGCCCTCCGCTGTCCGCTCCGCAGGCCGCAGTCGCGAGTGAGCGGCGGCGCCTTGGGCTCACTGGTGGTGACGCCACCGTCGGGGCGCAGCCGCAGCCCGCAGGAAGGTGAGCCGGCGCAGGTGGACCAGGGCAGCCGCAGAGCACAGGCAGGAGTCGTGATTCCTGAGACTGCTACTAGTAGCACGCAGGCAAGCACAGGTCGCTGCCCCTGCCTGCCGTGATTCCTCAGGGCTCAGGTTCACGGCGCTCCGCCCATGTGCCCTGGCCGTCTGGCCCTGTGGCCTCCGCTCCCGCTCCCTGCCGTCCGGTCCCGTTTGGCCTATGGCAACTAGGCGAGGTCGCCCCGGCTGATGTGGGCGGCTCCGACGCTCTGTGCGCTGCGCGGCAGCGGCGGCAGGCGTGTTTAACTCGCCTCGGCGTCGGCGAACGGCCGGCATGGCAGGCGGGCGGCGAAAAGGCAGCTGGTTTGGCTGGGGCTGGGCGTCGATGGCGCGGACCCGGACCCGGACGGACGGTCCAGCCAGCGCCAGGGGCCGCGTGTGCCCGTGTGGCCTTGCGGGGTTTTCCAACGGGAGGTCCATTGGCGTACCCTGATCGCCACATGTGCCGCAGCAGCACGCGAGGTGGTGGGGAGGGGAGCAGCAATGGAAGTGTGGTCGTTCCGGGGAGCGTCAGATCGTAGGCTATGGCTAGCACACCGTACTCCGTAGGTACTAGAGACTAGAGAGAGAGAGAGAGACGTTAGGTTACTGTGGGAGATCAATCTCGTTCGTCCGATCTAATCACACGCTCGCCCGAGGTACACCGTACACTCAGCCGAGGTACACGTACACCCTACCGTTGTGCACCCTCGTCAAGAGTTAGCAAGACACTTGCCAGTTCGTCGCGGTCCTCGCCGTCGTCCGTCGGGCACGAAACGGGCCAGACCGCCAGAGAGAATACTGTTCATCAACTGACCGCTACAGCGTTTCTCTCTCGTAGAACCAGTGAGTTCAGCTATTTCAGACGAGCTAACGGGCCGTGGGATCGCGGAACCGTGCGTGATGCGGCCAATCAAATCAGGCGTGGGTACGTACCGACGCCTGAAACCAAACCATGGCACGACGCGAGCTGTTGTGGCCGCCGAGCCGACACCGGTAGTGGTAACTGACGCCACGCCACGCGACGATGGTGCTTCATCACAGGAGCCACAGCGACCAACGTACGATACATTATGGGCGTGATTGGTAGGCTGCTCCTACTGTTACATGACCCATCGGCCATCGCGTGCTGGATTCTTGTGATTGGTACGCTGCTTTGGTGCTCGGGCAAGGCCAGCCGCATGCACGAGGCGTTGTCGAGCCAGGCTCGGTAGGAACGCGGGGACACTTCGTTTCTTCGGAGCCAGGCACGCGTCGTGCGCGCGCGCGTCCCCGGTGCCGATTTTCCTGGCTGTGGCCCTCTGCGTGGATACGGCGCTATTGCCAACCAAACAAAATCTCCTGTGAGCCAAGCCGGGTGCCAACAATCAACCAATCACACACCCAAACGAGATGGCTGCATGCACAAGACCAGGCTGTCCTGCGCTTGGCTCTCAGATACGGGACAGGTTGGCCCCAAACGAGAACCAATCACGCCCTATGTGACATGTCATACACACAGAGGTGTTGATTAGCACAAGCTCATGTAAAGCAAACGAAGGTGTCAGTACTCCAAAGTGAGCTCGGTCGGCAGCGAGGAGCGAGCTACTAGAGCTGATGGTGATGATATGATGGCGGCTCAGAGAAAGTGTGCCGTGCCCTCCACAGGTCCGCACGCGAGCTAAAATAATGGTGGCGCCACGTGGGCGCAAGTGTTCTTTACACTAGACGAATCGCAAGTTCCCAATCAGAGTGTGAATCCAAACTTTTGACAGGCATGGAAAGGTTAGGTAGCTGACACCGTAGCGCATGAATGACCAGGGCACTTTTCAAAATACTGTATACTACTCGTACAAGAAGAATTTTTTCCCCAAAAGACGAATACAGTACGTACTACCACTAGCTTGCATTGGCCGGATAAACTGAGCAGCCGCTTTCCTCACCGTGGGGGATCTTTGAACCGCACGAAAGCAAAATTTGACACAACACTAATCAGTGAGTAAGCTGGGCTGCTATGCAACTGATGGATGGAGACCCTTTTTGACTGTCCATGCCATGCGTCGGTATCTTTGTGTGGATGGATCGGTCGTCGACGTACTCTCGGCCGGATGACGGCTACGCTAGCATTTTCCGCACTGGCGCGTGATTATTCCCTCGTGCTGACAGCGCTTCTGATCTAGCCTGTCCAAATCACCAACTGTGTTGTTCGTCCAGTCTACGGATATTTTGACCCTGTGCTATCACTCAATGGTACAGTTACGTGCTGCTAGTAGAAGTTAGACCTTGGTGGTTACTGGTTGCTGGTAGAATAACTGCTACGATCGAGCAGAGTTTGCCTTGGTCGCCTGCTCATCGGGAAAACGGGAAAGCGTTTTCAACGGTTATGATCCATCCAATCCAAGTCACAAGGGCAGTGAATACTTCCCTCTGTTTTTTGTTTATCTGTCGCTACTCGCATGATTAACTGCAACAACTTTGACCATACGTTTTTTTATACATGATGTGAAATATGTAGTAAGAAAAGAAAAGTAGGTGTTAATCAAGAGGGTCTAAATATTCCACATTAACTCAATAAGAAGTTACACCATGAGGTTTTTTGTAATAAATATGATGGCTTAAATTAAGTAAAAATGTCAATGACTAATACAATAAATATAAGGTAAAACGTAAAGCAACAAATTAAGGAAACATTTTTTATCTGTATGTTGCAAATGTTTCACACCTATGTTGCAAGAGTATGTTCGAAATGTTACAGTTGTTTTAGTCTTATGTTGGAATAAGTGTTTTCATGTTGCAATTTGTAAGTATTTTATCTGGATGTTGCATATATTTCAAACACATATTGTAATTGTATGTTCCAAATATTTCATCTGCTTCAGTTGTATGTTGCATCAAGTGTTTTCATGTTTCAGATGTACAAAGTCCTAGGGGGCACGGCTTGGGCGCCGGAGGATGAGGCGCGACGAGCCATGGGCCGACGGTCGGCGCGCAACACACTCTAGGATCCTTCGGATGGTGCGTGCTCGTCATCATGCGTCATGTCGGCTCTCTGGTCCCCCCCCCCTCGCCCTGAGATAGACGAGGGGGTCAGGAGGAACAGGTGCGGCGTTTCCCGCGGAGGGACA